GTATTATCAAAGAAAAAAAACTAAAGACTGATTCCTAAACTTTTTTTGAGGAAGGTTTCCTAATGGTTTAAGAAGGTATTTAGGAAGACCATCTTAAACAAGTAAAAATGTTTCGTAAACTATTCTTTAAGAAGATTGCCTGCTTGTTTAAGAAGGTGTTTAGGAAGGCCTTCCTAAACAAGTGAAAATCCTTCCTAAATAATTTTTTTATGAAGGTTTCCTACTTATTTAGGAAGGTGTTTAAGACTTCCTAAACAAGTGAAAATCTTTCCTAAATGATTTTTTAAGAAGGTTTCCTACTTGTTTAGGAAGGTGTTTAGGAAAGCTTTCCTAAACAAGTTAAAATCCTTCATAAATTTTTTGTAGGAAGGTTTCCTACTTGTTTAAGAAAGTATTTAGGAATGTCTTCCTAAACAAGTGAAAATCGTTCCTAAAATTTTTTTAGTACGGTTTTCTACTTGTTTAAGAAGGTATTTAGAAAAACTTTCTTAAACAAGTGAAAATCTTTCCTAAACTATTTTTTAAGTAGGGTTCCTACTTGTTTCGGAAGATGTTTAGGAAGGTGTTTAAGAAATCCTTCCTAAACAAGTGAAAATCCTTCTTAAACAAATGAAAATTCTTCCTAAACTTTTTTAAGAGGGTTTCTTAATTACTTGTTTAGGAAGGTGTTTAGGAAAGTCTTCCTAAACAAATGAAAATCCTTCCTAACTTTTTTTTTAATAAGGTTTCCTACTTTTTTAGGAAGGTGTTTATGAAAGCCACTCCGCGACTTCCTTCTATCTCCCTTTCGGCGTCGAGCATGTTCTTGAGCGAGTCCACATCAAATAAAAATAGGCCAATGATCCACGGACTTTGGTTTGAGGAAATATTATTGGAATATTAATCCAAATTACAATATATACTATCTCACATCGAAAAATTAGACAATGATTGTTTAATATATAATCAAAATTACTTATTCTACTCCCCAACTTCGTTCTTACAAGCTCTAAAGCTTGAAACTTCATACCTTGACGAGTTCATAGAGATCTCCAATGATCTCGTATCTCTGACCTAAAAGGACACATTGACTAGTGTTCCTCAACTTGACTTTTCTTGAAAAACTGATTCGGTTTTAGCCATTTGACTCATTCGAATTCCTTAAAGAGGTCTCTTATCAACCCAAATTTTCTTCTACTAATCTCAAGCGGCTTTTGTGGCTTCTCATGACATTCTTTAGCTATTTTCACGTTGCAGGGTTTTGCTTTGAATCTTTTATGATGTCAACAGATATGAAGATCCTTCTATGTTCTTGGCATTGGACTACAATCACTCCAGAAAACGGTCTGATAATTGTCTTATATTGTCTCATCTCAGGATCGCCAAGATCTTATTTAACCATTTCCCGTTCCAAATTCCTACTAAGTTCAATTTGCCTACCACATTAAATAATCTCTTGGTTTTAAGTACTCAAAAGGCAGCTCTTCTTTTGTTACTTGGGTTTCAAGTTAAGCCTCTGTTTTGTTTTGTTTTGTTTTGCTTACATGACTAATATGGACAGACATAAGAAAATACACATATATTTGATACTTTATGTCTTTTACCTTGAAGCATTGTCTATGTTATTCAATGAAATCCATGCCATTTTGATAACGTGTTTACTTATAATCCAAGAAATGTATTAGTAGAAACGAACATATCTTCGCCTATCTTCACATATTCCTTCTTCTAGAGTAGCAACGTTGGAGCTTCACTTCTTCAATAGGAATCGGAGTTTCCGGGAAATTACACGGCACAACCGTCCCCGGCTCCTTCTCCGGCAACAACTGACACGGCTGAGGAGTCACTCCGCTCGTGTAACCCGAAACATCCGTACAATTCCAAAGCACTTTCTTAGGTTTCTTCGAAAGCGTGATGGTCACGTTAGAGATACATATTCCAGTAAACTGATCTCCCGATATTCCAGCCAATTGAGCCGGCATTGTCACGTTCTCTGCTACCATATCTTGGTAATTGATGTTCTGAATCACCGGTAAAGCATTCGGATCATAATGCTCATCCGGATGCGAACCGTAACTTCCGGTCATCCAAAAAACGTATTTCATCGTCTTCATTGTCATTCCTCTTACATATACATCCTTCACGTATCCTCCTCGTCCAATAGCTGTTTTGATCCTGTACAATTCAATTTCGGTTACGTAATAGACCAAACTAAACCGGTTGAATATGCAAAACCGGTTTTGTTTAGGTTACATACCTGATTCCAGATTCTGAGTCAATGGCAACAATATCTTCTGCTCGAACATCCTCAATTCCGCCGGACATTTCACTGCCAAGAGCGATCACGGCGCTGTCCGGTGAAATGCATGTGAGCCGTCGGATCAAGAGCTGTTTCGTAGGCATGCCGTAGTTGATTCCATATTGATCCCATCCACTCTTCACGGCGATACAATCGTCGCCGGAAACAATGTAACAGTCCTCAATTCTTGTGTTCGTACAAGAATCTAAGATAAACCGGAACAAAAGTTTAGCAAAACCGGTTCTTGGTATTTTCATAATTTGTCGGTATGATTGATTTTGTACCTGGGTTGATACCATCGGTGTTTGGTACCGTGACCGGTGCTAATATCGTCAAACCTTGGATAACAATGTTGCTACATTTTTTTTATTAATAAAAAACCGGTTTAAATAGCTTATAATTTTGATAACCGAGTGGTTTAATAACCAGGTGAGTTTGTTTACCTGCTGTAAACCGGGTGAATATGCCAAGAAGGAGAATTCAAGAAAGTGAGATTGGAGATTTGGATACCATCAGAATGCATAATCTCAATCAAATAAGGTCTTGTGTATTTTAACTCTCCTCTCTTGAATTTTCCCCACCATGGCTCTCCTTGTCCATCAATAGTCCCATTCTCACCTTTCAATTCCAAAATCGCGCATTTCGAATTAGAATGATCGGTCCGGGTCAATTCGATTTCGGTTAATTATATTCGATATGAATTGAACTACTAACCGGTGATAACCACGTCGGTTAAGTTTGAACCGAAAAGTAGACTGATGAATCTTCCACCATCAGTGTCTCTCCCTCGTCCGTACGAAGGCAATGGCTCTATCACTTCATAGTCACTCTCTTCCTGCCAATAACGTTAGGACAAACAATTTTAATAATTAGATTAGAATTAGTCAAACTTTCTTAGATAGAAACTCATTTTATTTATAGACTATTAATTCTTCACTTGAGTTAATAAAAGAACAAGAATATAAAGTTGGTTTTGTTTTGTGGTTGTTTAGAGCCTCAATTTTTTTTGCACGGTCCTATTCAACTTTTTATTACAACCAAATCTTTTAGTAATCAAGTGCAAGGAGATATAGATCATGTTACGGTTAAGAGTCGTTGTAGCTGGATCACTACAATTTTACCCGAAAAATATATCATTTTACGCCGCAACCGGCCACCACATTTAGTTAGCTCACACGACAAAATGGACAATAGTTTGATAGTTGTCACTGTTCGCTAACACCATAGAAAAACCCTACAAATAATTCAGAGGAGACATTCTACTTTGTTTTCTTAGTTTGTTCTACCTAAAACATTATCAAGAAAGGTAGAGATTGTACATTCAAAAACATAAAATGTAGTAACACATCTACGACCTTAATTTTACATTTCCACCAAGATCTTAAGAAGTTTTGTATAGGGAAATGTTTTGAAACAAAAGAGCTGGCTTAAGGACCAAAAAAGTAACATGTGGCTGAGATTTGGACTAGAAATGGACGGATGAGATCTTCCTAACAATAATGGGTCGCAATACACTTGTAACCGTCCGATATTGATCCCCACTAACTTTGTTGCGTCTTTGCCTATTTTGTTGTTTTTGCGTAACTCCCATCTTACTCTACCCACTACTTTTTGGAGCAACTCATTCTAAAAACCTAATTAATAGGTTACTTTTACTTGTAGTAGAAACAAAAAAAAAAAAAATTTTAGAGGTCAATTTTTTCCCTTTCACAGACCCTCTAGTTTTCCAAATCTTCCAATTTTTAATCACAAATTTCAATTTTTTACTACTTTTATCTATAGAAACAAATTTGTTTACCTAAAAGACGCATGAATTGAATGGCCCAACCAAATATCATCAGAAAGCTAACCAGCAAATGTCACGTGTATATATGTATGTATCGATTGCAACAACAAAAAATTGCAACAGAAACAAAATAATTCATCAAAGACGTTTATGGAGTTTTGTGTCACGGGATATTTCTAATTAATTCTTGTTCAAAACAAAAATATTTCTAATTAATTATTTCATTTTCATAACTTAAATAGTTATATAATCGAAAAAATAACTTACTTGGGAGGCTAGGAGAACAGCATCACGGTGGAGGAAAAGCGTGAAATGGCTAGTGAGGTTAAAACTTCCGGTGAGCCACCGACCGGCGGGAACAAACAACAATGAGCCACCGTAGTCAGCGAAACGGCTAAGTTGTGAGACTGCATCACGAAACGCCGCCGTATTTGAAGTCACACCGTCTCCTACGGCACCGAACTCGTCAAGAGACGCTGAGTAAGCTCTACAAGATACGGCTGAGTACTCAAACTCTTCTCCGCGACGACGGTGGCCGCGGTGGCGACGGTGGCGATGAGTATGGAAATCGGTTGCTCTGAGGTTATGTTCGGCATCGGCGGCTCCGGTGAAGAAGCCACCGTCATGGCTGATAAGGAGAAGGAGGAGAAGGAAACCGAAGGTGGAGAGAATGGTTGGCATGGCGGTTTTGGGAGGAGGAGAAATGAAAATGGAGCTGTTTAGCAAAAAAAAGGAATGAAAGGAGGAGTTTATATATAAGTGACCGGACCCAAGTCACCCCAACATAAATAGTTCAAATATCTTATAGCACTAATTTTGTTTTTTTTTTTTAAATGGTACCGTATACGTATTTTAGAGAATGTTTTCAATCATAATAATGACTAGAATTTTGGATTGAGGTTGTATAATTTTCTAAGTTATACACATACAAAGTTATTATAATACATTACACAATAAATGATGAAAATTTTGGATTCGACCTATGCTAACTATTAACTAAACCGTAAAATAGCATAGCAATGAAATATTCTGAAAGATTGAAGTTGATAAATTTTTTACGTAATAATCATACAACGATAAAAACTAATTAATTTTAA